CCTGACCTACAGAATCAGAATGGCTGGTGTATTCAACTTCCCTTCTCCACCCCATTTTCGATACTGGCACCAGAATTATCCTCTTTAAAAAGTAAAACAGCCGGGTATGGGGCTGCATGCCTATGGTTCCAGGTCTTAAGGAGGCCAGGATTACTTGAACCCAAGAGTTGGAATCCAGCCTGGCCAACACATCAAGACCCCACCTCTAAAAAAATAAAAATAAAGCCAAAACCATAATTGTATCTCTTCTCTGAAATAATGTCACAATTGTTGGTTATCCACCAAAACTGAAAAAGGTCCAGACTTTTCAGTTTGGCATTTAAAGACTTAACAGTAACATCCCAAACTATCACTTAGCTATCTCTCTCACCATAACCCTTCCTTAATATTGCTGTTTCAGTCTGTCCCTCTGTATAAGCTGTTTCCCTCTGCCTATAATGAGCAACAACATTCAACAAATACTAGACGCTTCTAGGCACTGGAGACTACAGAGAGTATAAGACATTCAAGGTCTGCCGTCATGGAGCTTAGTCCAGTAGAAAACACCAGAAAATCATACAAATGTGTAAGTGGGTAAGGGCGAGAAAGGAGGGGGACATGGAGCTGCCCCAGTCAAAAGGTTAGGATAGACAACGTCACTGCCACGTCCAGTTCTGTGGATACTCCTCACCCACCTTTCTTAGTTATGTCAACGAGGCCTTTATTCTCTGATTCCATCTTGAAATCCCAGACGTTTGACTCCTTCCTGCCTCTCCGTGACCCTTTAACCAGCCAGCATGAACGCTCTATGCTTCCCAGTTACCACCAACTGCAGTTCAGGATTGTTGCTACCTCTCCCCCCGGGGGTCTCTGACAGTCTGTTCTCTCTTCCAATCCACCAAGCACCCTCCTGCCTAATCAGTCTAAGAAAGTGTGTTTTTCCCTTCTCTCTTTAAAAAAAAAATTCTTGCTTTGAAATCTTTAGTATTCCCCACTGAATTTCAATTCCTTAAGCTGGCCTTAAAATAAGACTTCCTTTTTTGTTTTTGACACAGAGTCTCACTTTGTCACCCTGAGTGGACTGCTGTGGTGTCACAGCTCACAGTAACCTCCAACTCTTGGGCTCAAGTGATTCTCTTGCCTCAGCCTCCCAAGTAGCTGGGATTACCGGCACCTCCACAATGCTCGGCTAGTTTTTAGAGGCAGGATCTTGCTGCTGCTCAGGTTGGTCTCAAACTCCTAAGCTCAGGCAATCCATCCACTTTGGCCTCCCAGAATGTTAGGATTACAGGCGGGAGCCACCACACCTGGCCCAAGACTTCCCATTATTTAACTCCTACTTAATCCTCCAGTGACCTCCTGCTACTCCCTACTATGACTCCTTTGCCAAAACGATGTACTGAATGTGCCTGGTAGATCCCTCACTTTGCATTTTTATGCACACTCATTTCCCTCCACCCTGAATGTTTCCCTGAAACCAGGCCCCAAATCAACACCCTTCCAAGACTCAGTTCAATGTCACCCCTTCTCCAAGGTCTTCCTAAGAAAAACTTCATTTTCAAAATCAGCCACAGAAATATTCCCGGTTCCACATGCACTTGCAGAATCTTGCCTTCCCTGTCAAAAGGTAGAGTCTGTTTCCTTTCCCTTTAAAACTGAGCTTGAACATACCTGCTTGATGCAAGAGTTGGTATCATCTGCTGGCCACCACTGGCTCTAGCACAGTCTCTCTACAGACATAACTATATTTGAGTGTGTGTGTGGTTTGTGCTTCCTTGCCCTTGGGACAGCCCACTCTACAAAGAAGACTCTCAGGCCACATGACAGAGCTAAGTGGTCTCGGTAAAAGTCCCAGCTAACTCAACAACCAACATCAACTACTAAACAAGATGGAGTGAGCCTTCAGATGACCAAGACCCTGCCCATGGGGCCATCCTGGCTGAAGGTGAATAGAGCAAAAAGATGCTATCCCCACCAATCCCTGCTCAGACTGCAGATGCAGGGGCAAAACATAGTATTTTAAATGACCAAACTTAAAACAACAACAGATAAATGAAACACCCTCCAAAATAATCCTTCCCTGAGAATGATCTGGCCTGATCATTTACATTTGTTGACTGTTTTCCATATCCTCAATCCCCTTCCCCATTGGTTTGGGACTGTTTTAATTCCTTCTGAAATTTTATAGAACCACCTACAACTCCATGTAGTACTTTTAGAACTGACTTGAGTTAGTTAAAACAGGGGCAATCACCACGACGGTTACAGTTGTTACCTTTCTTTAAAAATAACTCAGCAACATTTGGGAAGCCGAGGTGGGTGGATTGCCTGAGCTCACAGGTTCGAGACCAGCCTGAGCCGGCGGGAGACCTCGTCTCCAAAACTAGCAGGGCATGGTGGTGGGTGCCTGTAGTCCCAGCTACTTGGGAGGCTGAGATAAGAGGATCACTTGAACCCGAGAGTCTGAGGTTGCTGTGAGCTAAGACATCACACTTTATGGAGGGTGACCAAGTAAGATTCTGTCTCAAAAATAAATAAATAAAAGTAACTAAGCCAGGTGCCGCGGCTCACACCCAAACCCCACCCCCACCCCCCATTGGGTTGGTTGAGGAAGAAGTCCCTTGAGCCCAGGAGTTCAAGACCATCCCGTGCAACATGGCTAGACCTCCTCTTAAGAAAATAAATAAATAAATGAAAGACTACGCAAATTCTGTTTTAGAGAACACGGAGATGCGTTCTGCTTCTGAGCTAGAAGAAAGGCTCTGTGAGACACAATTGCCATGTGACGGTGAGCCGCGCGGCCAGCCTGGGTTTCTCCTTGTCCTGCGCGAGTTGACAGGACAAAAGACCCTCTGCCCTCTTCCAGTTAACACAGGCGCTGTCCCTACAGTGTTTGCTTTATAGCCGCCTTTTTTATAAGCCCGACATCCTTCTCCTTCTGTCTCCCAAACCCCGGGCAGGAGTCCGGCCCGGCCGGCAGACCGGTGGCGTCCGGGCGGCCCCGCGGCCCCAGCCCCCGCGCCTAGGCGACTGCACCTGTGCCGGCCGCGCCTCCGCCCCCGGCCGTTCGCCTCTTCTCTCTGCAAACACAACAGGCCACGTGCTGGCTGGGACGCCGGTTCCGAGGCCGGCCTGGGCCCCGCCGTCCGGCCCAGCAGCCCCGGCCCGCCCTGCAGCCCGCTCGGCCCGGCCGCGCCTCCGCCGCCGTCGCACTCACTGTCCCTCAGGCGACGCTTGAACGCGGGGTCCCCGCGCCGCTTACGGTCTAAGTAAACACAGTAGCCGAGGAAGGCGACGGCGCCACCGGCCACCAGGGCCGCCAGGAGGCGGAGGAGGGTGCGGCCGCAGGGCATCCGGCCGCGGGCGTCCCTTGAGCGAGCGTTGGGCGCGGGCGGGCGCGAGCGCAGGACGGCGGCGGGGGCATCGCGGCCGGTCCCGGAGCCTCTCCCCGAGCCGCCGCCGGGGGGCAGAGGGCCCCGGGCACGGCCACCGACCAGCAGAGCTCTCTTCGAAGCAGGCCTACGGCACTCCAGGTTCTGAGCCCCGGCCCCTAGGACGCCTTCGGGCAAATCCCGGCCTGGGAGCCTGGTCAGCAGGGAACCCGCTCCTGTGCTGCTTCGCTCTGGGGTCATCTCTGGGCATCTCCGAGCTCTCAGAGTTAACACAGCCTCACTCCCCAGGCCGGGCTCCTTTGTCACCGGAAAGGACCCAGGAGGCCACGGTCTCTCACTCCTCAACTCACCCACCGGCGAGACCAGGGGGGCCGCGCTATTCAGCCCAGAAAAACGTTAACTTGCCGCGCTGGCCTGGCAGTCCAAGGCCCCAGATCAAAAACATCCGAGAAAGAAATGCGGTAGGACATTGTCCCAAATACCAGAGTTTTGGTTTTTATACTGTCAGCTGAAAAAGAGTCACCAAGTGCGTGAACTTAGGACACTTTCTTTCTTATAAAGGACTGTGCCTGGTCAGGCTGGGAAGTGTAGCCTGAGCGAAAGGAACCAGGCAGCAGGGTGAGGAGGCTGCTGAAAGAGCTGGTGAGTGACGTACAGCAGGTTAGGGGGGAGCTATGAGTGGGCACCAAGGAGAACCACACGGGAGTATCAGGCTTCTGTGTATGTGACATGCATCTTATGCCACTTTAAGGTGGAGAGTGAACGTGGAAATGCAATATAATTAGGTCCTATACAAAACAGGGTGAAATGTGGGACACAAGTTTATTTTAATTTTTGTCTCACTTTGTCACCTTGGGTAGAGTGCTATGATGTCATAGCTCACAGCAACTTCAAACGCTTGGGCTCAAGAGATTCTCTTGTCTCAGCCTCCCAAGTAGCTGGGACTACAGGCACCAGCCACAGTGCCTGGCTATTTGTAGACATGGCGGGGAGGTCTCCCTCTGGCTCAGGCTGGTCTCGAACCTATGAGCTCGGGCAATCCACCTGCCTCAGCCTCCCAGAGTTTTGGGATTACAGGCATGAGCCACCGCAGTCAGCCTGGGGCACAAGTTTATGAACTGCCCACTCTCAGGAGACTGGCCAGACCTGTCAGCAGCCATAAGTCCTTTATTAAGAAGCTCTCTGTGGGGCGGCCCCTGTGGCTCAGTGAGTAGGGTGCCGGCTTCATACACCGAGGGTAGCCGGTTCAAACCTAGCCGCGGCCAAACTGCAACAAAAAAATAGCCTGGCATTGGTGGCGCCTGTAGTCCCAGCTACTCAGGAGGCTAAGGCAAGAGAATTGTCTAAGCACAGGAGTTGGAGGTTGCTGTGAGCTGTGATGCCACATCACTCTACCAAGAGCAATAAAGTGAGACTCGAAAGAAAAGAAGCTCTTTGTGGCGCAGTAAGGCGCCGGCCCCATATACCGAGAATGGCAGGTTCAAACCCAGCTCCGGCCAAACTGCAACAAAATAGCGGGGCGTTGTGGTGAGTGCCTGTAGTCTCACCTACTCAGGAGGCTGAGGCAAGAGAATTGCCTAAGCCCAAGAGCTGGAGGTTGCTCTGAGCTGTGACACCACAGCACTATTGAGGGCAACAAAATGAGACTTTGTCTCTAAAAGAAAAAAAAAAAAAAAGGTCGTGGAGCATCTGCCCTAAGATTTCTGCCCCAGGTGTGGGGGTAGGAGCACAGCAGCAGTAAATTGGCCAGTGGATTAGCTCAGCCTTACCACTTGGGTGATCAGCTATAAAGGATATCAACAAAAATCCCTGCCTTTTAGCACTTTCTAATGATCCATAGAGATAATAATGTAGTGCCTCTGGGGACCTGGCCCCTGTTCAGTGCTCAGTAACTATCAGACACTGGTAGCAATAGTAGTGATGTTCCGGCAGCACCTGTGGCTCAAAGGAGAAGGGTGCCTGTTCCATATGCCAGAGGTGGCGGGTTCAAACCCAGCCCTGGCCAAAAAACTGCAAAAAAAAAAAAAGAGTAGTAATGTTTATCTGCATCATTGCACTGTGGGTTCAAAATTAAAAAATTAAAAAAGGAAGCTTTTTGTGGTCTGAAATAGCTGTCATGTCAGAACCATGAAAACAGGAGGGGGGCTCGGCGCCTGTGGCTCAAGCGGCTGAGGCGCCAGCCACATACACCTAAGGTGGCGGGTTCGAATCCCCAGCCCGGGCCCGCCAAACAACAATGA